CCCCCCCCCCCAATCCCGCCCATCCACTACTACTATTCGTCATTTGTGGTTTTTCAGGACATCAACAAAATCTCTCCCGCAGTTCACAGAGTCGTCCATCATCGAGTCCAACACGACGACTATCATGTTCGACACGATGACGGGTTGAGCGCGGGCGTGTACGCCACGTGCTGAACATGACCCCACCGTCGTGTTCAATCCGATGATGGTCGCTGTCACCGAGTTGAACACGACCGCGGTGGCACCCCCCGACCTCACCGTCGTGTTCAACCCGATGATGGTCGCTGTCATCGTATCGAACATAACCGCAGTGGCATCCCAAAACCCCACAGTCGTGTTCGACTCGGTGACAGCGACCGTCATCTGATTGAACACGACGGTGCGGTCATGCTCAGCACGTGCCGTGCAAGCCCGCGCTCAACCCGTCATCGTGTCGAACACGACGGAGACCTTATAGCAACAATTCATGTACAGCACGTTCTGAACACGACCCCACCGTCGTGTTCAAACCGATGACGGTCGTTGTCATCGTGTCGAACACGACCGAGGTGGCAGCACCCGACCCCGCCGTCGTGTTCAAGCTATGACGGTCGATGTCCTCGTGTCGAACACGACCACAGGTCGTGTTCAAGACAATGACGGTCGAGCACGGGCATGTGCACCACATGCTGAACACGACCCCGTCGTCGTGTTCACCACGATGACGGTCGCTGTCAGTGTTCAATGCGATGACGGTCGCTCTCGTAGTGTTGAAATGGACCACGTTGAATCGCCGTCGTGCCGGTGGTAATGTTCAACAGGCGACGGTCGATAGCGGACATGTCGCCACGAAAGCACCATCGCATTCAACAAGCAGGCGGTCGCTCATCGTAATCTTCAACATGACGGCGGTGGGCGGCAGTGGATGTCATACAGACATGGGCATCGATCGCAACACGACAACGGTTGAGCGCCGGCATGTTGAACATGACCGCGCTGTCGTGAGAATACGGTGACGGTGGTTCTCGCCGTGTGCGCCTGTCGTGTTGTGCAATGCGGTGATGCGTCGTTGTGTTCGACACGACCGCGGAGGGAGATCATCGTGTTCAACACGACAACCAGTCGCTGTGTCTCTCGTGCATCGCTTCTGTTGAAGACTGTATTTTTTCCGCATTCACAGGCCTTACATCGGTTGTGTATGGCTAGCAGTGGCCGCGCTGAACCACATGTGTTGCACTCTACATATACTGCTTGTGATCCATCTAGCTGCAGATTTGTTACTGATATGCATGTCTTGTGTCAGTGGTCCAGTGTTTTGTCATCGCAGAAACGTTTTAAATGGCTTGTGGTGGGCATGCACCGCGGCAAGCTGCTAGCACAACTTTGGAAAGCATGGACTGTGTGGCATCTAATATACTGCCTAATGATGAGCTTCCTTCGCCGGACCTGCCAATGTTTTCGCAAGACGTTCAAATAAATCCAGAATCTTCTGATCATAAAAGGTCCCGGATAGGTGCATGCGAAGAAACCACATGCGAAAGTGCATCTCCAGCCTTGGGCGGACCATTGAAAACCTCTGATGCAGAAGGTTCGGAAGGTCAGGGTAAGGCCGCCTCCGGTGACAGGAACACATCCGATGTAGATCGTATCATGTGGGTGCCGAGAAGTTCGCTAGGAGATTTCGAGTGCACAGGCCTTCTGTTTGGCGAGAGTGATGAAGATGGTTCAGAATTTGGTGCTTCGATGTCATCTGACGCCAACAGTTCTCCAGACAAAATTGATCATTCACAACCTTGCGATGATGATGGCACTGACCACTATTGTCGCAACGGTATGGAGAGTTATGATGTCATTTCTGATTTTGATGACATTTTTCCAAAACGATTGTCGTCGGAGAAGCGTCCTTATACTTTCCGTGTCATAATGCCTTGGTCAAAGAAGATTCTGCAAACAGTTCACAGAAAGCTCACCAAAAAAGCACTGGCGAGTGTGCGTGGACAAGTTTGTTGTAAACAAGATCGTTGCGCTCGCATGACCATGGAAGACATTAAAGCTGTCCGGGGTGCATACTACTGTAAGGATCACAAAAATAGAGATGCATGGTGGGTTAAAACGTTAACGAGGTTCACCTTCGTGGAAGATGAGAAAGAGATTGTGCAACCTATTGTGGGGAAAAGAAAGGTGTGCATTAGTGCATGGTGTTTCACACTAGGTGTGTGCAGGAATACATTTATGAAAAAGAGGGCGACTTTGTCAAAAGGTTACATTATGCCGGAGCATGGCAGCACTGGACTCAGACGCACATCTGCAACATATGGGACGATGTTCGGCAAACTAAGCTCCTTTGTGCGTGACAATGGAGATTCCATGCCCAATGACATGAGGATCAAAGATGGAGAATCACGAGTGGTTTTGAGATTGCCTGCTTGCTATAACAAGGTTGACATTTATAAGTTGTTGAAGTCACAATTTGACAACCTCGGTGTCCCTTCTGTTTCTCTCCAAGTTTTCTATAACATGTGGAGAACACACTTCTGGCATGTGAAATTCCATAAGTTGATCAAAACTTTGCGAAATGCGAGAAGTATGTTGAGTTCAAAGAATCTATCAATTCTGCGAAGTTCGTACATGTGCGTGATTATTTCGTTTCGAAACGCAACAAACAATTGGACTTGCAGCTCCAACACCATGTTGCTTATGAGGTGTGGAAGGATGAGTCGAAGAGACCAGGTTCCAACAGTTTATGCATCATTATTGACGGTATGGACCAAAGCAAGATGAGTATTCCACACTTTGGAGGAGAAAACAAGTCGAAGACATTCACGAATATTCCAATGATGAAAACAAATTTAACAGCTATTATCGAACACGGTCGTTCACCATCGGTGCATGTTCACTCATGATACCCTTGCTATCCCCATGATTCCAATGCTGTGGTGTCATCCATTATGAAAATCTTGCGTGATATACAGGCGACAAGCGACTTACCTCCTAAATTGAGGATACAAGCCGATAACTGCTGGAGAGAAAACAAAAACAAATACGTTTTGTCTCTGGCCGCAGCTTTGGTGAAATTTGGCTTCTTCAAAGAAATCGAATTCAGTTTTATGTTGGTAGGGCATACACATACGGACGTTGATGCCACTTTCAGTCATTTCTCTCGCAAACTGAAAATGCACGATGCTTATACCATGCTCGACCTATTCAAACTCGTTACCAGTTTCCCAAAAGAGCGTCCTTTGTGCACATTCATGGATGAAATTGCTGACTAGCGGGGAGCTGTTAAGCCCTTCCTGGTCAACAAACTGACCGGTCATACAAAACCACATTTATTTAGGTTTTATATGGAGGATGACAATCCTATGTTCCAGTGAAAAGAGTATTGCACTTCTCCGAACTGGTCTTCTCCGGTCTATTGCTTTAAACGAGATGAAAATAAAGCATATGCTGGACCCGAATGGTCATTCGAACCTTCACCTGTTCTCCCGTCACCTATTCGACCTATTACAGAAACATCACGTGGTCAACCCGCTAAGGATAAGAATTCGGATTTCAAATCAGGAATTGAAGGTGTGAAGACATTTGTTGAGTGGTTGGAAAACAAGCGGCACGAGTGGTTGGGAATGAAAGATGAGGTTAGCTTCTCAAAGGAGAGTGCTCTTTCACACTGGAAAACTTTCCTGGACACAATCGAGCAAAATTATGGGTCTGGCTTTGCAAAAACATCACTCAAGGCTGACTCTTGGCCCTCGCGGGACAGAATTACGAAGGACGATGCTGAGGATATTGATATTGCCGTCCTCTTGCAGAGCAATGAGAATAAGGAGCCGTTGTTTGTTGGGCCAGTGAATGAGCGTCCAAAAACAGAGTTCGACCCGGTTGTGGATGTCGAAAAGGGTCAATTCGTTCTCTTGCGTCCTTTGCAAGATGATATCGATCAGGGAGTTCCCGTGTGGATGGGTATAGTCATTTCTAATATTGACAACGATAGGAAGTCGCCTGCTTTCAATCATGTTCTTATTGAATATTGAGTGCCACAACCTGTCGTCAAAAGTCTTTCTCTGCAATATGCAAATGCATGGAAGAAGATATGGAAGAAAGACAACACAACAGCATAGCAGTGGCAGCACGTGAACTGTGTTTTGTGGAGCTAGTCATCAAGGACGTTGCATTTGGAAAATGGAGTGCACATTCCCAAATCGGTCAGAGAGAAAGCCTTGGCATGTCATTCACTTCCAGATGATGAAGACCAATAGGATAAGTCGCTGAGAAGGCCTCATTTCGTGCATGTTGGTGTACCATTTACTTATCATTGAGTCCATTCATATATAGTTAAACTACATATCATTGGCTTGCCTTTGACTTCCCTATGATGAAGATTAGTAGACTTTAAGTACGTCGTTGGGAAGAGTTAATCATATTTCATTCGAGTGTATTGCTGTATCAATTAGTTGTCATTGAGCTTCTGTATTTCATGTGTTGCAGAATGATTCATTCAACGACTGGATGGCCGTCAAGCAATATGGTGTGGGGCAGAAATGTATGACATGATATAGGGTCTATCTTTTTAACACCTGAAGTGGTTTTCGAGGGTGCAGTACTCAGTGTCAGAGGTGTGGATGTCGCACCGGATTGCTGGGAGCATTATCCTCGACAATGTTTGTATATTTGTGGTCGTAGGTGTTGTGGAACAAGAGAATATCCGTGAGAAGTGCTCGCACCGTATTCAGAATTGTGCTATTCAGCAGTGAAGTTCTACCACAACAACTTCAAGGTGATGACCTTGTACTGTGCAGCGTCAAGTATCTAAGGGCGCTGCAAACTTTCTTTTCTTATTCATAACGATCATTCTACAAGTGCAAGCATATTCAATGCACATGACATCGACGGACGAAGACGGGAAGCGTTTGGAAGGAGGATCATGAACCAACCATCGCTCAAAGCACTCTTGGATGGGCTCGTGGACACAGCGATTACATATGTACGAAATCTTCTGCTGCGAGAGTATGAAGTCATAGAAACTTACGTAGAGTACAAGGACCCCATGTTCAATGGGCACAATGAGACGAGCACTGTAAAAGATTGGACAATTCACATGAGGAGAGCGTGAAATTTATCACGCAGATCGTGTTAATATGTCCATTACGTACTTAGATCTGATTGAAGTAGCCTTAGAATATCGTTTTGAAGTGTTATCTAGCAGTGCTTAGAAGTCGATTTCAATTATAGTCAACTTTGACGAAGATTTTGACAATGTGTAATTTTAAGAGTTCATTGACGCACAATTGAGTTGATGTAAGTGGCACTGTTTTGCTTTTAATATAATTGCCAATGGACTTTTGCATTAAATTTTCCTTCCACGGTCTCCATATGAAGGGTGTTCTTATAGTTTGAAGCAACTTAAGGTATAAGACTTGGACTTTGAAGAGTTGCTCTTTGTTTGAATGTGTCATGGGTTTTACAAATTTCGCATGTCTTCTTTCCATCGCATATGATGTCATTTTTTTCGTTTATATTCTTATCATTTCGACACTTCTCTGCTCCAGGTTTACATTGTGCCGAAATATTAAAATCTTTTTTTTTTTGTTCTACAATTTACCTTTTGTTCGGTTACTTCGTTAATTTCATTATGTTCACTTTTTACAAAACAGTTCGTTTTTAACGAAAACGCCGTTTATTATTAGTAGTA